ACACTCAGTAAAATTCCAAGCCTAGGAGTTGACTTCACATATCTAACCATATGCAATGTTGCATCCCAATGGGATTGTTTGGGGGTGTTGCATGAATTGGCTAAGTACTTGAACTGCAAAGTTGAGATCTGGTCTAGTAATGGTTAAGTAGAGTAGCTTCCCAATAAGTCTTTGATAGCTTCCAATGTCTTCTAGTTCCTTATCCCCCTTGACTCCTACATGCTTGTCATAATTAATGGTAGTCAATTTCTGATTCAGTTCAATGGGAGTAAAGATTGGTTTGGCTGCTACAAGACAAGCTTCTAAGATCAATTGCAAAGCATACTTTCTTTGAGTGGGCAGTATCCCTTCCTTTGATCTCAGAACTTCTATTCCAAGGAAATAACGAAGTTCTCCTAGGTCCTTCACCTTAAAAGAGCTGTATAGAGTCTGTTTAGCCTCCTCTATCAACTCTACATTGCTGCCAGTTATAAGCAAATCATCCACATATACTAGGATTATAACAATGTGAGAACATATATTCTTAGTAAATAGAGAGTGATCATGAGCACTTTGAGAGTAACCACCATCCAGTAAAGCCTCAGTAAGTTTAATGTTCCATTGCCTTGAGGCCTGTTTGAGGCCATATAGAGATTTCAGTAGTTTGCACACCTTGTTCTCCCCTTGTTTCTGGAAACCTTGAGGCAAGTATATATAGACTTCCTCATAGAGATCTCCTTGCAAAAATGCATTGTTCACATCTATTTGGAACAAGGTCCAACCTCTTGATGCTGCAATGCTGATCACTGTCCTTACAGTTACAATCTTTGCCATAGGAGAGAAAGTTTCATGATAATCCAAACCTTCTTGTTGATTATAACCCTTTGCCACTAATCTAGATTTGTATCTATGTATTTCCCCATTTGCTTTGTACTTGATCTTGAACACCCATTTAGATCCTATTGCTCGCTTACCTACTAACAAGTCAACTATCTCCCAAGTAGCATTGTCCTCAAGAGCCTTAATTTCATGGGACATTGCTTCTATCCAGTTCTTGTTCCTACATGCTTACTTGAAGGATTTAGGATAAACTTCTGCTGCAAACACTCCTAAATAAGCATGATAATTGGTAGATAAATGACTGTAGGATACAGAGTTAGAGATAGAGCGTGTCTTGGACTGTGACTTGCATGTGGTAATGTAATCTTTTAGCCAAATAGATGGTCTTGAAACTTTGTTGGATTTCCTAGTATGCAAATCAACATTAGATGGTTGGCTTGTGTCTGCTTGTTCCTCAACATCATTAATGTCTACTGTTGGACTCACAGTTGGTTTAGAATCATCTGCTGCTGCTTGTTCAATGGATGTTGCTTGTTCAGGATCAGCTGTTGGATCTATTGTTGTCACTCCCTCATTTGGAAGTTGTTCTTTAATAGTTGAATGAAGAGCAGGTTGGGTAGGCATGGGGTCAGTTGGAAGAACTGATGGTGCAGTATTTGGAAAGAGGTCTTCTTATTCAATTTGCATTCCTTCCTTGAAAGGAAATATATACTCTCTGAATGTGACATCTCTACTGACAAATATTCTTTTGTTGTCTAGATCATACAATCTATAGCCCTTTTGTGTTTCTGAATAGCCAATGAGAATGGACTTCTTTGCTCTTGGTGCAAATTTATCTCCTCCAGGTAAACTACTTGCAAAACAAAGACATCCAAACACTCTTAGATGGTCTATCTTTGCTGGTTTTCCATGTAATACTTCATATGGATACTTCCCTTGTAAGGGCAATTTGTTTATCAGATAGGCAGTTGTTCTTACACAATCCCCCCAAAACCTTATTGGCACTGAGCTTTGGAACTTCAGTGCCCTTGCCATTTCTAATATATGTCTATGCTTCCTCCCAGTTGTACCATTCTGTTGAGGGGTATATGGGAAACTACTCTGATGTATTATTCCCAAGGTAGCAAACAATTCATTACATTGAGAATTAAAAAACTCAGTACCATTATCTAACCATAACACCTTAACAATCATACCAAACTAATTTTGAATCATTGCAACAAATTTTTCTATTACAACTAGTACTTCAACCTTTGATTGAATCAAACACACCCAAGTGTACTTACTGTAGTCATCAACAATAGTAACAAAGTAATGCTTTCTATCATATGTAGGTACTCTGTGAGGTCCCCAAATATCTAAGTGAACAAGTTGAAAGATTCCAGTAGAACTAGTACTACTAACAGAAAATTTTAGCCTACATTGTTTAACTAGTGGACATATTTGACAGTCCTCTTGTGCCTTCACATCTACTTTATTCTGTAATTCTGGAATATGTTGCATTGCCTTCAATGAAGCATGTCCTAACCTTAAATGCCAAAGTTTAGTTTCTTCCCCCTTTCTCAGAAAAACTCCTGCAGCTGCCACTGTTATGTTCTCCTTAAGCAAGTACAAACCATTGTGCTCTCTACCAATCCCTATTACCCTGCCACTGTAGAGATCCTGTAATATACATAAATCAGGGAAGAATGTGGCTGAGCAACAGAGATCCTTTGTAAGTTTAGATACTGACAATAGGTTAAATTTAAAATTTGGCACATATAAGACATTTTTTACTGTCTTATTGCCTAATATGGAGGCCTCTCCTGTGTGAGTTATTTGAGATTTGTTTCCAGTAGGAAGTTGTACTTCATGTTTCCTTTGGTCATCTGATCTTCTAACATTGTTAAGGATATCCTTACAGTGTGTGACATGATGTGTTGCCCCTGTATCTATTACCCAATCACACATACCTGCATCAGATAATAGAGAGACTATACCTGCAAAATTATTAGAACTTTCTGCAGTTATTGGCTTTGACAACAACCTCACCAGTTGTTGATACTGTTCTTCTGTGAAGAACTGTCCTGCTCCTTGTATATGCACATACATTTGTTTCCCTTCCTCACTATTTGCATTCATATTCACAGTGTTAGCATACATCTTTCGTCCTACAGGTTGATTCTTCCTTTTACTCTTAAAGTCAGTTGGATATCCAATTATTTTGAAGCAATTCTCCTTAAGATGTCCTTTATACCCAAAATGTTCACAAATCACTCCAGGTTTCCTTGCTCTAAAGTCATGTCCTTTCCCTACTAGCATAGTAAGTGGTTCTCTATGAGTATCGACAACACCTAAAGACCTCTGACCTTCCTCTTGAGTCACTATAGCATAGGCTTCATTAACAGCCACAACAGGCCTCTTAGCTAACATATTGCTCCTTATGTTGCTATAACTTTCATTTAGTCCCATAAGAAATTGCAACAAACGTTGAGATCTTAGGTGTTCTACTGAAGGTCAAGATTCTTCACAATCACATGAAGATAGTGGCACTAACACATCCAATTCAGCCCACAAGTCCTTCATTTTTTAAAAATTGCTAGTGATAGAGTCAGTACCTTGCCTTAGGGTTGCGATAGCTGTCCAGAGGTGGTAAATCCTCGTCAGATCTGATCGATCAAATCTCTCCTGGAAATCATTCCACACTTTCCTTGCATTAGAGGCATAGACAATACTCGGCATCAATTCACTTGACACAGTGCTCCCAATCCATGACAACACGATTGTATTACATTTTTCCCATTGTTCAGCCAACTCTCCTCTGTACATACTCTTCACACAAGTTCCGTCCACAAACCCTAGCTTGCTTTTCCCCCGGAGCGCCAATTTCATCGCTCTACTCCACAGAGCATAGTTATCTGGCCCTGTGAGTTTGAGTGGTATTAGGACGAGTCCTAGAGCATCTGAGGATTGTAGAAACAACGGATGATTGTGATCTAAAGATGCAACTTCATTTTCCGCCATTGCTGTCTGAAATTCTGCTTCGTCAGAGCTTCGATCTACTGTATTTTGCCTGAATCTCGATGAAATCATGATCGCCGCTCTGATACCATAATAGAATTGATTGAATCTACACAGTATTGTAACATGCAAGTGAATCTGACAGTAAATCTATAGAGGAAATGAGATGAAGAAGAAGCTCTGTATTATTGTCTTAAGCAAAAGAAGAAGAAATACACGTGTGAGCTGTTATATAAAGACCCACTTCTAACTGCCTTAACAGCTTTTCCTTTAGGACAAAGCTTTCTAATCTTCTACACTTAGGTCCCTCAGCTTAGTCTATGTACAATTGGTATGTATCTCAATATAAACCATTTATGATTCTCCTTATTTTGACGGAATTATATTCAATTCAACTATTATGTATGGCAGACATATATACTTCTCTTCGATATTCCTTGTGTACATATTTATGATTTTCTTCCCGAATACTTTTGGTAAACCATTTACAATTCCTTGCCATGTATCCTTTAATCCCAAGATTATATATGAACTTGTAAGCAAATTATTTGTACGCAGTTTCTCAATTCCGTCAAAATAAGGAGATCGCTGTTTGATTTAAACATACATATCTGGGCTACTATCACTTGGATAAAATTAACTATTAATGCTGGGATTCACCTTGATCCTTCTTTTCAAAGTCAAAGATTTCAAAGGCCATATTAATCTAGAAGTAAACCACTAGAGTATAACTCAATTTTAAAGATTACAACTATAGAAAAATTTGGTGTAGAACGTGCACGTCAGTTTCTCCATGCATGTATCCTAATAAATGGAGTAATTTATCTAATTTGTTGAGCTTCGATAATTACCATCTTCCTCCACATTGCATTTAATTATAAAATGAAATAGGCGGATTCAGGATTTGAAGTTTTTGAATTCCTACCATAATCTCAAATTAATATGCAATAATAATTGAGTTCACAGTTAAATATTTACAAATATGTAATTGATTTCTTTATACAAATACAGAGTTTACGCAAAAGTTATTGAGTTCTCGGTAACCCATATTCAATATTCAGGTCCACCACTGCTTGATGATGAGCTCTGTATATATGTAACTGTGGAACTGCAAGGGCTCTTCAAAAACGACCTATCGTATATTGTACCCAAAAAAACATAACAAGGAGTAAGAGCTGAAAATGGTTGAATCAACGATTCTTTCCAAAAAGATGATCAAGCCCTCTTCCCCCACCCCTTCTTCCCTTAGTCGTCACAATCTTTCTTTCATTGATCAGATAGCTAGTTCTGCATTCTCTCCAATTGTCGTCTTCTACTCTAAACCTACAAATAACACAAGGCAGATTCTTGAAAATTCTCTTTCAAAAGTATTGTCCTCTTATTATCCCTTTGCCGGAAGAATCAAAGATGATTATGAATACGTTGAGTGTAATGACACAGGTGCTGAGTTTCTAAATGTTCGATTCAGTTGTCCGATGTCTAAAATTCTCAATCAAACCTACAATGATGTTACTGATGTTGTTTTCCCACAAGATTTGCCTTGGAGTGTTACTCAAACGGAAGTTTATTGGTGATTCAGTTAAGCCATTTCGATTGTGGTGGAATAGCAATCAGTGGATGCCTATCACACAAGATTGCTGATGGATATAGTCTCTTGAAACTCCTTAAGGATTGGGCTGCTACAGCTCGACTTGAGTTGGATTTCAAACCATCTACTCAATTTGATGTACATTCTTTCTCATCCTCTAGTTTGGACAGACTCAAGGATATTGTTGCAATGAATTCACAAGTGCAGAATCCAATTCGTGTTGAAGTTGCTACAGCACTGCTTCATAAATGTGGATCGGCAGTATCAATAGCGAATTTAGGCGTGTTCCAACCATCTTTACTGTGCCATTTAATGAATTTTCTTCCACCACTGCCCCAAAACACCATTGGAAACGCTTGTTATTTCTTTGGATCAACAGCAGCGAAGGAAAATGAGACACAATCTCAACTACGTAAGGCTAAGCAATATATTCAAGACAAGTCGAAAGATCCAAATCAGCTAGCCTCGCATTTACTTGAAAAATTCAAAGAGCGTGCAAACAAATCAGAGAAGAATAAATTTGATTTTTATATGTGCAGTAGATTGTGCAATTTAGGAGTATATAAGATTGATTTTGGATGGGGTGAGCCTATAAGGGTGACACTTGCAAGAAATCCAATGAAGAGTAACTTCATTTTCTTGGATTCCCCAAATGGAGACGGGATAAATGTGCTAATCACTTTGACAGAAGCTGATATGTTAATATTTCAGAGTAACAAAGAGCTCCTAGAGTTTGCTTCACCAGTAGTTTAGTAACTCAGTAAGTCTAGTGCCATATTTCTATGTGTGATCTTCATACAGTAAGTGTGTTTTTATTTTTCTTGTATTTTGGGAAAGTTGTGCAATTGTTCAAGTTTTCGTTTCAATTCCTTTGTCCCTGTCAATATTGGACCTACTTTGGCGCAGTGTAACGGGATAAAATTAGACTCACCACCCTCTAACCAGGGCATACAATATACTCTTACGGAGAAGCAAATCTTAATTGAACTTATATTTGTTCAATGGATACAATCCGCTCATGATAAAACTTCATATGGGTTTTATGTACTTTTATCTTCAGCGAGTGTCGAGTAGCCCAGCATTCAATGCGGTCGAAGGAACGGCCTACTCTCCTTTAGCATAAGGAACCTTTGGCTTAATAGGAACAGTAATCAGTAATCACCACAATAACTTCTCCAATCACCTTGTAACGATAACAGTCTTCATGCGGGTAACAGAGTTCATATCCTTACTAGCAAGGAAGTGATTAAATATAATATACTTCTGTCGCGACCCCAATTTCCCTCCGTATGATATCGTGACGACAATTAGTCTTTAAGACTAGGTAAGCCTAAATAACATGCGGAAACAGTAGATAAAAGCTTAGAATTTCGAAACTCCAACAATATCGTAACTAAAACTGTAAACCCAATACGTACAATCCCCAAAACCTGGTGAGATATAAGTCACAAGTTTTTATATACATCATTGTCTATAAAAATGTAAAGAAACAAGGAAGAACAGGGTAGAAAGGCACTTCGAGGCCTGCGGACGATGACAGATGTATCTTGAAGTCTCCAAATGAAGCAACTCAGCGCGCTAATACCAGGACTGATAAAATATGCATGGATCTGCACAAAACATGTGCGGAACCGTAGTATGAGTATACCACAATGGTACCCAGTAAATGTCAAGCCTAACCTCGGTAGAGTAGTGACGAGGCCAGGTCAAGGCCCTACTGGAGATAATAAAAACAAGACAGAAGATATAATGGTATAATGATAATTACAAGGAAGTGAAACAATAAAGAATTTACGGAAAGATAAAAATACGGGGCCAAGGCAGCTAATACAACACGAAAGGAAAACAAGAATTTTACATGTTAAGGAAAAACAACAACCAAACAATATACAGCAAAATAGAGAAAGATCAATCGGGGCGCTCCGAAGGTACCGCCTCGTAGTCCCAAATCATAAAAGTAAATCACAGTCTTTCCTTATATCACCATAGGGGCCTTTACATTTAGTTTTAAAAATAATTTTTCTCGAAATAGCACCCCACGTTTTAGCCCACCTTATCATACTGTGTGACTTCTAGTAGTTCCCCTATTAGCCACGCGCATCAAGACCACCTTATCTCACTACATGCGTTACAACACCCAGACCTTATACCACCGTATGCATATCAATTATTACAATGGCACGGTAGAAACCTCGTGCAAATGATAGCAACAACACGACAGAAACCTCGTACAAGCAACCAAACAATCCTCTCAACAATAACACATATTCCAAAACATAACAACTCAGTAAAAATAATATTTCACAACTTACACTTTGCCTCAATAGAGACCACGACCTTTGCAATTCAACATCAAACTCAACAGCAAGGTATTCCAAGGAAAGAATCCCGCCGTTAATAATGAATACGGAGTTTAAGAAAAGCAAGTAATTCAACTAAACATGTAGTAGAAGTTGCAAATAAGCGATAAGACAAGTAGACATGTAAAATTAGATTAGGTACGATGGCTATAACATATTAAAGCAACTCAGTTAAAACATGAAAGGAAAACTACATAGCTAAAAATCAAAAATTCCACATTTAGCATGTATCACAACAATACCAAATTCTAAGGTAAATTTTTCCCACACAAGGTTAGATAAGTTACTTACCTCAAACCATGCTAAATCAATCAACTAAAAGGCCTTTCCTTCGATTTTCCAACTCTGAACGGCTCGAATCCTAACAATCCCTCTGAGAATCCCTTGAAATTTTGCCTCAAACCGAGCTCTCTAAGTCCAAATTGTGAATTCTGAAATAAACCCTCGATTTTGAAACTTAAGTCTGTTGTCCAGTTATTCCTTCTTCGCGAACGCGAAAAATCTCTCTGTTCGTGAAGCAAAAAAATGATGTTTCCCCAAAATAACACTTCGCAATCACGGAACAACTCATGCGAACGCATAGCACTTCCCCCAACAAGATACGCAATAGCAAAATACACTCGACCGTGATGACGAAAATCGTGTGAACCTGCAATACCAAATTCTTCTACGCGAACACGACTACCCTCACGTGTTCGCGATTCACTAGAAACCAGCCTTCCGCGGTTGCAAGCCCCTTCAAGAAATCTCATAGAACAAATTCTCCCTAGTGCCAAATTACCCTTTGCGATCGCGTTAGTCCATTCGCGATCGCATGTAAGGACACCATAAACAATTGATTCAGCAACTCTTCAACAATCTGAAATGCGCCGAACATGGTCCGAATCACACCCGAGGCTCCTGGGACCTTAACCAAGCATACCAACAAGTCTTAAAATATCATATGAATACGCTCAAAGCGTCAAATCACATCAAACAATACTAGAATTACGAATCGGGCATCGATTTAGCCTAAGAACTTATGAACTTTCGAATTCCGAAACCAACGCCGATTCATACCAAAACAACTTCGATTAACCCCAGATTTTGCACACAAATCATAACTGATATTACGGACCTATTCCAACTTCCGGAATCGGAATCCGACACCAATATCAAAAGGTCCAGTACTCCCGGTCAAACTTTCCAAAATCTTTCAACTTTCCAACTTTCGCCAATTAACGCCAAAACGACTTACATACCTCCAAATCAACATCCGGACACGCTCCTAAGACCAAAATTACCCTACGGAGCTATTGGAACCGTCAAAATTCCATTCTAAAGTCATCTTCATACAAGTCAGATTACGGGCAACCCCTATGACTTAAACTCTCAACTTAGAGACTATGTGTCCCATTTCACTCCGAAACTCATCCGAAACTAAAACCAAACACCATGACGAGTCACAAACCATAATGTAACATAGAGGAACCAATAAACAGGGGATCGAGGCTAATAAACTCAAAACGGCCGCACGGGTCGTTACAGCTTCTCAAACCATTCACATCAAATGGCATTCCCTTCACTTAGGCAATTATAAGCTTAATATTAATGGAGCTTCGTCAAAAGACAAAGAGATCAACAACGTCATTAGAAACAGCAAAGCAGATTGGGTTGTCACGTGTGGTTATTCAACTTTGAGTTTGTAACACAAAAATTATTTTTCTATTTTTTGTCACACACAAGTCATTCAACTTAAAGTTTATCGCATAAAAGTCACTCTTTTTTTATCACATAAAAATCTTCCTAACTTTAACCTAGTTAACTAAAACATACATCTCACCTATTTTATATTTTATACCAAAAATATAACATGACACTCCAAGATAGTTGGTTAGCTTAATAGACAATATTAAATATAAACGGATTAATTTTACATACCTTCCCCTACGTTTTCTCTTCGTACCACTAATCTCCTTTGTTGTTTACGAAGTTATGCTTATCTTCTTATTTTGTTTATTTTGTAACAATGCAAAGTCATGAGACATATCAAACTCGTAAATTTTGTGTTTGATATTGAATTGTTTGAAGCTGTAACAACAAATTTTTCACTAATTTAAAAGGTGTTCATAAAATTCACTAAATAAATGAGAGTATTACTAAGGGAGAAATAGTCAAATCATATTTTTTACATTAATGATGAGTTAAAAAATTATTACAAAGAAATCAAAACAAGAAAAGTAAACTTAATATCATTGGAGATTAATCCCAAATGTTATTTGCTTATTTTGGATTGCCATATCATATAAAAATTCAAGTGAAATTTTCTTTTAACTAGTAGTCAACGAGACATGCATGTCATGTTACCATGTAATTTTCATTTCTTATTTTTAATGAAAACTCAAATTATATAGAATATGTGCTATCAATTGCTGGAATGCATATTCTGATGGCCTATTTTTAATGAGAAGTCAAATTGTGTCATGCGCTCTCAACTAATGGAATGCTTATTCTTATAAATAGTTAACAATTTGGCCAAATAAGCTCTTAGTAGGTGTTCAAATGTACTTGGCCTATTTTTAATGAGAAGTCAAACTGTATTGTGTGCTATCAACGGATGGAATGTGTATTCTTATGAATAGGGGTTCGTCACTCAAAATTCGTGCTATTATTGGAACCTACAGGGCATCTCCTAGATATCTGCAAACTTTAACACACGAAACGAAAAAGATTCACATATTCGAATAACTTCATTCATAATTCTATCTAACCTAGTATGTTCACATATCTATCTCTATATTCTTATTTCCACTACTTTCATCTGCTGGACATGAGAGTTTTTGACTGATCAACACTCTTTATGAAACAAAAAAAAAAACTCCAAAAGAATTACACATGTTATGGGTGTGTTTGGTACTCAAATGTTTTCTAGAAAATAAGTAGTTTTGTTACTTATTTTCTGGTATTTAGTTAGTTTAGTAGAAAATATTTTTAAGTAAATAATATGGGAGATTGAAAACAGCCTCTTGCAAAAATGCAGGGTAAGACTGCGTATAATATGTTGAAGTTTGGCAAATTTATCCCACATCGGTGGACTCTTGAATTTTGGGGGGATTTTCCCCCTATAAAAGAAGGCCTAATGTTTAGGATTTAAACACACCTCTCATTTGCCTTTTCATCTGTTTAAGGCATTTGTATCTTCTCTCTTTAGTATTATTTCACTTGTATTTTTGGAGTGGAATAAAATATTGGTTGTGTCCGAGGAGTAGGCAAAATTAGCCGAACCTCGTAAATTC